CTTTGAAATTATTTTTAATACTTAGTGAAAATATTATATGCCTGATAAAAGCTTACTCTAATATGTGCGGAGGCTAAATTTAAAATTATATTTTTTAAAGATTGTATCGAACTTTATGGATCTCGATAGCGCAGTTGTTAGCGCGCTCGGTCTGTGATAGGTTTGTTAAGTAAGTTCCACAATGGACGGGCATAGGATGGGTGACCAAAAATTTATTATCTCGAACTTTTCCGTTCTTCGGAAGGCACGTTAAGCCGTTAGTCGTAACACCCACCAAGCGCACTGGTCTCGCGTGATGGGTCATAGCCCATTCTCCCTGTTTTATTTGATTCGATTTTATTCATGGGGAAAGTCTGTCCCTCCCAGCAATGGAGACATAATACGCTGGCGAAGATAATGAAAATGTTTCGAGCTATGAACTTATCCAATTATACTTCGTTTAACCTGTTTAAGATAAGGCGCAAAGAAATAATTTATAACAAATCATAACGTCTCGACCTCGACCTTATAATACTTCGTGTTCACGCACAGAATGTACTCCCTGTTCAATTTTATGTTCGGAATACGTTTATAGCACACATTAAGTAACGACTAGCTAAAAGACTTATGGTTATTTTAACTAACGTAAAGATAATGGATATATTTCACTATCGACGATAACATCAAAGAGTTCCGTAGCCAAATTATAGGTATTTGAAAACAATAAACATTGCCGAGTGTGTAAATCCGGAAAGTAGCGTGTAAAAATTATGAATATCTAAACAATCTACGTTAGAGATTAGACTTCTGTATCTGATATATATTTGTGTGGTATTCCTTGAAAACTGACCTAAATAAAACGTGTACATGATATTTCGGAGAATTCTAAAAGTTTCATTCGATTTAGAAGTTTTTTTATGTAAGTATAATTAGTAACAACAATTTAAAGTCAATATTGCAATTGAATTCCTTTTGTTATTTTGAATTTTTATTATTTTTATTGAATAACTACAAGAGTAGTTCAAGATAACGTTAAAGGAGTCGCGTCTTGCGTACCTCAATAAATATGGCAAGTGCTTATAAGGTGCAGTTTCTTATTAAGTAATGATTGTAGGTACGAACAAACAATTTATTTTCCTATCAGTCTTTTTGGCCCTATGGCAACTAATCTGAAAGCGGGTTATGACAGTTGTTACTTGGTTATGACTTGTTACATTCATCTGATTTTAATATCCAATTATCGAATATATTCACACAAACAAATCGGATACTCGAATTTATTGCACACAACATATTTTTACGCACTCTTTCCAATTTCGCCTAATGCTTGCATACGCTACGAATCGTCGAGTGTCGATTTTTCTTTATGTATCTCAAAATAACTAACACCGAACTGTTTACTTAAGTCGTTAAAAAGTTTCGATAATTCAATATCTAAATCGGATGAATATTGCATGACCTAGTCATGATCAAGTGACAGCTGTCACAACTCCCAACTTAACCACCGCCATCTACTATTAGATTAGCTTTTCAAATTAAAACTCATTGATTTTGTTCGATTCACGTGGTTGACAACAACATAACGATAAGTACCTAATAAAATGAGGAAGTGTACTCTTATTAGAACTGCGTATGCCGATACAGACTTTGTTTGGTGTTAAAACGTCTGATAAGTGTACAGATTTGTGCAAATATTGGTCACCAATATTGATTGTGTCTGACAGCTCGGATGCTAACAAGTTGTAGGTATGTGCAAACTGAATTCTTGAGACAAATGATTAAACAACGATTGGGTTACGTAAGATAAAGATGATTTAAAATTTATTGAAATGTGCTGGAAGCTTAAATATATTTGCCGTAGATTCGATGATCATGTCAAACATAAAAATACTTAAAATTGGAAAAAGTTCTGCCGAATAAAGATCCGGTATAATCTATTAAAAACTTAAATAGTTAAAAACAGTATCAGATATATATACATTTTTACAAATTATTTGAGATTATTATATTTATTACACGAATATTCTTAATGAAAAATATTTAAAAAAATCCACCAATCTCAGGTACTCTGAGATAGTACTTGAACCCACGACATTTCGCAATAGGGAAGAATGCTCTAATTACTGAGCTACCCAGTACTCAACAGAACTGATGAATTTGTCAAGCACTTGTTACTTTTTTGCTACTAGCTATCAGTATTTTATGAAATAAATATTTTTGCAAATATTTAAAATTTTCGATTAAGATGATATTCTAATTATTATATTTGATCCGTTTTGTATTCACAATGCTATGTTTCTTTAAAAAGCTTGTTTTAATTTGGTCTAAATCGGGCGCAATATTTCGTTATTATCTTTCTGCTAACGTCTTATTTACTGATTATATCTTATAGGAGTATTAATTAGATATTAACCGAGTACTAAGTTGAGTATTAAACCTTTAATGGAGAAGTTATTAGGTGTTCACAAAAGATAAACCGATAAAACAATTACTTGAGCGTGCCAATTCTTCATGCAAATAAAGTGAAGAACAAAGCGCCATTAAAAACCCATTAAAATAATTATGAGAATGGTTGTCGATCTTATAATGGATGAAAATGATTTCACTTCAACTCCAACAGTTGGTTTTTATTGGCACAACTATTAAGTTATACTTTTATCAATGTGTTTTTTTTTTATATTTGATAACAGCTAACACCGAGTATCTTGTAAAAAATTACTGCATTTCAACTATTAACGCACATGGTGAAACCACCATCTAAAAGTTTTACTAACGTTGCTCTGAGTAATTATAAACTGAATATTTGATAATAATTTCAAATTGATATCCCCTTCGATTAAGCGCGAGTCCTATTCATCCATTGAAGGGTTTCGTTGAAGTAGTTTAAAATACCTATAAGTCCTACCGATATATCGTTGCCTTTTCTATAAATGAGTACAATTTAAGGACTACACACTGTAGTTTTTCAAAGTTTTCTTAGTAACATTGGAGATAAGGAGGAATGGTAAATTTTAATCTAATTTTTCAGTCTTTAAATTTATTTTCATATTTCCAGTCCGATAAAAAAAAATACATTGCATATTTGTTAAAGGAGTGATTCTCTTCTGATACAAGGAATAATAAAAAGAAGCAACAAAATACGGAATATTATCCTATACGGGGTAGACAGAGAACAGAGTGCCATAAGCACATATCTTTCGTCTCCTTCACTTTAATTACTCTCTTTCTCTTCTCTAATATAGAATACTGTATTTCCTCCCTAAATTATCCATTAAAAATAATCTGAATAAGTCAAGTAAATGAGTCAAGCAAATGCACAGGCTCTATTGTGGACCTATTGAAAATTTACATATATTCGCCAATAGGAATTTCAGTATTTCATATTAGGGATACTATTCAATATTCGGTTACTTTCCTCTACTTAAACATCGTAAAAGTAAACAATAAAAGATATTTTTATATTATATTGGCTTAGTTTTAAAAAAATATAAAATCCAGATCAGAAAATTGAGGTTGATTGAAATAGAAAAAACAAACGCTATTTTTCTCGGGCAGAATCTTTCATAGCTTTAGTGTTAATACCTACAAATAGTAAGCGAACTGAATAAAATTAACTTCGCAGTTGTGATTATAAAGCGCAATGTTTTTAAAATGAGGACCGACTTTAGTCATCGTGTTGTTGTATTCATTTTTACTGTGATAATGTTTACAATTTATTTCGGTACGCGATGCTAATTTTGGAATTGTATATTTAGTGTGTGACTAATATTTTTAGTTGCACTGAAAAAAATCAGCGTAGAGATTGGTTCGTTTATTTTTATTACTGCGGACGGATTAGAATGCATTTATAAAATAAAGTAAGGGTTGGTGAATTTCTGTGAAAATGACGCGTCTCCTTGGTCTGAACTTACACATAAGGATCTCCCTGGTAGGTTTTAACTTAAAAATAAGGTATAAAAAGGCCCATCTTCGTTTCGTGCTCGAATAAAATCAAATCCTGTATATTTGTTTAATTTTACCGCACAACCGTACAAGGCGGACTTTTCTACCAGTCCAGATGTGGGGCAAAATATGTGGTAAAGTGCATAATGACAAACAATATGATAATAATATGAAGCGTGTTTTGTACAGTTCCAGCAAATTATTTAGTTCTGAATAGTGTATAATTATGAAAAACCGGGAAAATGCGAGTCAGAATCGCGCACGAAAGGTTCCGTATAGAAAACTAGCAAAGAAATCACGTTTGTTATATGGGAGCCCTTTAAATATTTGTTTAATTTTAATTTAATAATTTATTTTTAAAGTTATTATATAAATACGTATTCTGTAAATATTTCAAGCTTCCACCTGTTGTCGTTTTCAGTATCGAGCAAAAACAAGGTAAAGAATCACGCTTGTTGTATGATATTTATTTTATTCTGGTTTTTAGTATTTGTTATTGAAGCGGCAACAGAAATATATCAATTGTAAATTTCAAAAGTTTCATGGTTCATGAGATATAGCCTGGTGAGAGATAGTCAGTGATGTCTTAGTAACAGGGTTTCCGTTTAAACTATAGGTACTGAACCTTAAAAATGATAGCTTAAAATTAGTATAACTAAATGTGGAATTAATTCCAAATTTTTTTTATCAAACCTGAGAAATATAAAAAAGAAATATAGACAAATAAACATAGTGAGTAACAGATATGACTTAGAAAAAAAAGCTTGGTTTATTTCAAAGATTATCAATTTCTTTTAAAAATAATATTATAGGAAGTCATTTCAGTATTCCGTATTATGGTCACTATTCCATATTTGGTTACTTTCCTCAATTTATTATAGATGTTAATGTTTAATCTTAAAACTATTTATACAACAGAATATTGGAAAGCTGTTTTATTTAACAATAGGTACAGTGACAATCATATACGATTAACAATGTAAATAAATAATTAAACTATCCCCAGATGATGTAAGTTATAGTTACTAAAATTAATTGTTTGAGTTTTTAAAAATGTTAATATTTAAAATTCTTTTCAGAACGGTTTTGTGGAGTGCCGAAGCGGCGTCGAAGAGTGTGGATTGATGGAAGACTGTGCCGTCATTATGCCGCGTGAGGGGTGCTGTACGAAATGCAAAGGTTGCTGGTACAACGGTACAGAGCATGCGTCTCACACAGAGTGGGGGGAGGAGGGACGGGTGCTCCGCTGCGAGGCCGGGGTGGTCACGATATCCCGACCCGAATGCTACGCACCCTGCCAAAGACCTAAGCATCAACGGCATACCCATTACAACTGCCCTGTTTGTGATGGTAAGTTTCTAACATCGTTATCATCAACCTCGTTACGTCCCCCTGCAGAGGCTTAGACCTTTCTTAGATATATAGAAATATGGGATCAGAATTGTTTTCTTTTAGTTTATATTCTTAAATTGTTTTAATATCTTTCATGTGGCTGTACTGTGCAAATAAATAAATAGATGGGTCATAAACCTCCACGTTGACCCACTGCGGTTTTGAGGTAAACTTCCTTAAACGTGATAAGATTAAAGGTGATTTCTTTTCAATTTACATTGCCTCTCCCAATAACAAACTTAAAAAAAAAACTTCGTTAAATAAATCAATTAAAACCATATTAACACTAAAAATGCTTTAATAGACTGTAAAGGCAATTTTAACATTTTATTCTCATCAATAGAACCGCCAAGGGAATTAAGCGCTTATATAGCCATCAAAGGGCTAAATTACTCACAAGAATTTACTCACCATTTGACGCTACATTTTCCCATCACGCGTACTTACGTCTTTCAAGAGATAATTGTTGAGAGGCTGGCGCAGCCTTGTCTCGGGGAGCGCCCACCCAGTCGCGGGCGCAGCAAAAAAAGAAAGATCCCATACAAAAACAAACATACGCCGTGCCGTGCGGGCCAAATAAAACTAAGACAGTGGGCAATTTACCTTCGCTCCGAAACCTTAACAAGTTTATTAATTTCATATCAAATAATAGTAATTTACAAGATGACTCGGTATAGCTTTTGTGCATCGCCGATGCGTACCGACATCGCTTTATTGGGCATGTTTTAGAATGTATTAATTACCTGCTGGGTTAGGCTCGCTATGCCGACAATTAAACTGGCGTTAATTTACGCCCTATACTTATTCCTTTGTCGCAGTTTGAGGCAATACGTATAAAGGATTTGTAAAGATATTTTTGTGATTTTGTTTGTCATGCAGTTTAGCCGTGAACAAAGAATGGTCGCAATGGATTTGCATGTAGATCTCTACTAAGCAATCATATCTCATATGTCAGGGTGGACTGACTCGGTGGCCTAGTCGCCCACACGCCGTCACCAACAAAGGCAGGCACGTTGTGCTGCGCAGTAGCACTACAGGGTAGACAATAGAACACTCAGCTTTAATAACTCGACTGCCGAGCTGAATGTCGCCATACAAGTCGCAGAATACTATTAAAGAACAACAGTGATTAATCGACATGTACTTTAAAACTGTGTGTACTGTGATAAAAATTGTTTTTATACATTTATTATTGTCTTGTCTTCATTTATAAAAAAAGACGAGAAACACCAAGACGTAATTACACAGAACAAAGCTTTGTTCGTGCTATAATTAAATCTGAAATGGAAACGTTATTTGTAGATTTTTATTTGTTTAAATGTACTTTTATTTCCTTTGCTAAAACAAATTATGGATGGAATCTTCTTTATTTTTATGATCATCCATAATGTTGCAAGGAGTTTTCTCAGATGAACGTGCAACTCAGACCACCCAGACAGTGTCGTTTTCGCGGCACCAACTAGAGATACTCTCGGGAGGTTATAACCAGGAACAAAGGAATTAAATTCCATCTAAAAACGAAATAAAGTCTTATTATGTGCTCACGGGGGTTCATTAAAATAATACATTCGTGGTTGGAGTCTCCCACGGAGTTGCGTCTCTATTATTGACCATAAATCAAAAAGTTAACAACCTACTTAAAAGGTAGGGGCGGTTGGGTTTTTGTCTGCTGGTCAAAGAGACCCGACTGCGAGAACGTCGAGGTGTGCCCCGTATTTGTTTGTTTTAAAATCTCAACGGTGCATTAAGTTTTTTGCTCTGTCTACTTGTTATTTTTTCACGACTTCGTCTTATCAGCGGTGTTTTTTTTTTTTACTTTAGGTCCTCTTAAGTGGAAAATTATGAGTAATACATGTTTATACGCATCTTCCTAAAACAGTAACCACAGTATTTCAAAAGCAACGTTGATACTTTTATTTTTATAAACAAATCGAAGAAAAAATACTCAGGTATGGACAACCTTAGATTATTGTTTGAGAAACTTGGAAAAGTATTAAGAAATTTATATTTCTAGCATTTCACGAATAAATGGGAAAAGAATTAATACTTATTTATAGTGGTTCATTCAAAAACTATGCTCATAAAAATTCGTGGGACGTTTAAAAGAGCGTCATTATTATTAGGTATGCCTGCGTCGACGACCTGAGAAATTGAAATAATTAGCTTGTGATGTACGCGATACTCGTGCTGTGAATCTGTAATAGTCTATTGTGGGTCTTACATAACTTATGAGGCAACATTTTTGTCACTTTTCTCATGTACATGCCTTATGTTTGCTAAGTATAAATTTGAACAATTCATTCAAATTCTTTTGCTTGTAATTTAAAATCGTTGAAATGGTTAGGTACAATTTTATTCTGTATAGTAAGTAAGCATCAGTAAAATTATATATTTTCCTTTAAATCTAGAATAACTTTTATTCAGCTAAAAAGATTATCACGGATAATTATTACTAATTCTATACAGGTATTCTATTCTGTTTATAATGAACATCGAACTCGACGGCAGAGAGCTGCAATGAAATAAAATCTCTATTAACTTTTTAAGCCTTTATTTGATTTTAGTTTTATTTGATTGAACTTCTATGCTATGACAGCATTTCAATCGATGTCGATATATAGGCTGTTTTTATAACACAATAGGCGCACAAGAAATAACAGTGAGAAGTTAATAAAGGGTATATGTGTAGAGAAGGTCCACAGATTTGGAATATGGTGTGCTACAAGTTCCTCCTAGACAATTCACGCAGAGTATATACATATTGAGACTGGAAAGCAAACTTGTAGTTACTCGTAAAACTAAAATCGATCTTTTAGAGCGGAATATATATATATTTTTATATTCATATATCCATGGTAATCTCCAGTCAATTAATACGGAACTAAGATTTATTTCTGCACTTGTACACAATATAGGTTTTGCGGATTACTAAGTGTTTCGAAATATGAGTGATAACATTACTTTACGTACTGGAATTCTAAAAGTATCAAGCCACTTGCAATTAAGCAATTGCAACAACTGCTCATTTCCAAAGTGAAAATTAACCATTTGTCTTAATAACTGTAATATAATAGAGGCCCTGTTTGAACAGTATGATTATACTCACTCAGTGACAAAGCACATCACTCATATGAACGATTTGTACTAACGGCGAATACTTAATTGGTTGACTACAAAAGGGCAGCCTACTTTGTGTACTCGTCGCTAGTTTTACGACAGACACTTGGTTCTATTCATTGTCACAATTATGCTAGCGGACGTGTTAGTGGTGTCGAGTGGCATAGAAATTAAAATAAGTACCTACACACAAATAATATCTATCTGTGTACTGTCATTTTGAGACATGTCAGAATGAACGGTATTACACCACACTTATAATGAGATAAATGTTTATTAAATTTGTACATGGTATTTATGAGGACTCTGAATATGTTTTATCTCTGTCTATTAAATAGTGTTTATTTTGATGTAAAGCTCTTCAATTTTCATTAGACTACGTTTAAAGTGCACTCGAAATTTTTGCTTGTAACGTTATTCGCAATGGAATGAGCGGTATTTAATAAATTATACGTCATGATGGGTGTAAAGCGTTGTGATAACATACATTCCGTGACTGGTCTAATCAGGAAGATGTTATGTAGATTCTCCGACGGATCAAGTTACCGTTGTTATAGACCTTGTTATGTCTTAATTCCACCGTTGAGTAGTTTTATAGGAATGCAGATAGTAACGACGTGTTTCATACTATTCGTAAATATTAGCTGCGTATGATTTGCAACAAATTATAGACTGACCTTTCCACTTCTAATTTTGCGTTGCTTAATTGCAATGCTTGCATTTGTGATGCCTGTATGAATTTGTAAAAGAGAGCAAAATAGCCTGGGACATCCTCAGAGTCAGTACATATCTGACGGACGATGCGTTGTGTCTTTGACGACCTGACTGATGATTAGTTTGGTGTTCAAACCTAAAATACCTTATTACACGAGACGGATTTTTTGATGGCAGTGAACTGACCATTGATTAAGACAGTATAAAATCAAGGCATTTACCCGTTTGAGGCTTTTATCCACCATATATAAATAGATTTTTTCCATGACTATATTATTTCTCTTTATGAGTAATTCATTTGTATTTATTCTAATACCTATAAAGTTGCTTCAAATTTAAACTGACGTTTACTTGTATTTCTCCGAATTTATATAACTAGGTACGAGTATATAACTTTTTAAAATTGACTTTCTGTTAGAGCCATGACGATGAATAAGTTTTAAAGCAGCACGGCTTACAGGTGGTCAGGCAATCATCCCACTGTGTGCGGCCGCAGTCCCATTCATTAAAGTCTGATTGATTCATCTGCCATTCTTCCCAATTTATAGTCTTCGCGCTTTGTCTTAATAACGCCGCTCTAACCTTATTGTGTTCCAAATAATGGGCTGCATTTTAGTTTCAAGATTTTATTGTATTCATTCCATTTGCCTTAATAAGCATACTGTTGACACATTCAGCAGTTCATTGAGTTCGCGATACATATTATGTTAAACGCATTGTGATTCACTAGTAATAGTTCCTTGTTAAAAGGTTTGTGTCATCTAGAAATCATGAACTATTGCTAATGAGATTCATTTAGGCGTTGCGAGGCATGTTTTTACTGAAAGCAGAGGACTAAAAATGAACTAGAATATGTTACAGTTTCAGTTCTACAATCGAATAACTAGTAGGATCTAATATATTTTTTGATTTTTTTAATCACATTATCAACAACAGTGGCAGTTCTTAAGTGACACTACCTTACTGTAGGTCCTAAGAATTTATTTCTTAAATACTAAAAACGCTCCATAATTTTATAATAAACTAGCTTTCCGCTAGGGGCTTTGCCCGCGTGGTCTTGTATTATACATAAAAACCTTTCTTTTGAATCACCCTATTTATAAAAAAAATCACATCAAAATCCGATGCGTTGTTTTAAAGATTTAAGCATACATAGGGATACCGGGACAGAGAAAGCGACTTTGTTTTATACTATATAGTGATATGACATGAGTCTCAATATAGTTAACTAGTGGCCGCCAGCGACTTCGTCCGCGTTTTCCATTATTTCTTCGCTCCTAATAGTTGCAGCGTGATGTTATATAGCCTTAAGCCTTCCTCAATAAATGGTCTATTCAACACAAAAAGAATTTTGCTATTCGAACCAGTGGTTCCTGAGATTAGCGCGTTCAAACAAACAAACAAACAAACTCTTCAGCTTTATAATATTAGCATAGATATATTATGATATTTGAGCGTTTAAAATGAACAATGGAACGGACCACTTTAACATTTATTATTTATTTATTACAGAATGCGTAATAAATGGTCAGCGTGTATGGGAAGGCCGTGATGTTCGCATACCCGAAGAGCCTTGCTTGTCGTGCAGATGTGTGCGCGGCGCGCTGTCGTGCGCGAAGCGTGCGTGCCCTGTCCTACCGTGTCCTCATACACACCAATACAAACCTCCTGGAGAATGCTGTCCACGGTGTTCCCATCCTACATCTGATAAAATTTTGCCTAGTAAGTACGAGTATTTTTAGCTATCCAACTTAGTCATAGACTTAGGAATACTTGTTGCTTAGGAATGTTACATAAAATGTCTCTTTTACACGACTTGGCGGGAGCACTGCCGTGCCTCAAGATTTAGGTATTTTTCTCTATTTTTAAGATTCCATAAATTTTTTTGTTATTAACCTCTGAGTATCTACTGTACTCAGAGGTTGGTAATAGACTTTGTCAATAACTTACAGTTATTACTTGTATTAAAAACTTTCCAAGTGCAAGTTGTACTCACCCACGAAGGGATCCGTACCATTATCTAAAAAATAAAACACAAAATTACGTTAATTGTATTTCATTTAATAGGTAGGTCCTTCAAATCACTAATTCGAGATGAGCTTTTTAATTTGTACATTCGTTTTTATGACGATAATTCGTATTTTTCTAAATGGATAGTCGTTTATTTTTTCTTTAAATAAATAAGAAAAATATGATTTAAAATCCATTTTCCAACTTCCACATTCTTTATAATTGACATGATAACTCTTTGTAAATTATATAATTTTATGAAACAAAATTTCAGTTTCAGGAAACATGATGGCGAAACCGTGTATAATTGGAAAAGAGTATCATGGACATCTGAACGCCTTCCGAGTGGACCCTTGTACTGATTGCACGTGTATGAATGGGACAGCTGTATGTACTCGGCACACTTGTCCTGTTCTTACTTGCGGTGCTCGAGCATTGCCCCCACAGCCTGGCAAATGCTGTCCAGAGTGTCCACAAGTGGAAGAGGCTAAAGCGGCCTGCATAATTGGAGGGAAAACTTACCAGGTAGACTAGATTTCTATAGTCATTACCATCATCATCACCTGCCTGTTAATGTTACCACTGAGGATGGTCAGATCTTCACTATGGATGGTATCGAATTAAATCGAATAGGGATAATTGGTCACGACCCACTATGTGAACCCAGTGCCAATTAGTGGGTGTCAAAAAGTGCAGGTGCAGCCGGGACCAACAGCTTAATGTGCCTTTCAAAGCACAGAGTAGCTTGACTGCATCGCACTGTATCGCACATCTAACCGACAATCTAACCACTGCGCTATCGAGCTCTTCATTTATGTAGTAAAAATACATATTAAGCTTTCTTTATCTAGCTTAGAACGAAATGCTCGTAAATGAGCTTTAAGGATAAATCCAAAGTATTTTCTAAGTAGTAAAATCAGTGTTATATTGTTATTGCTGTTTTCAGGATGGTGAAACATGGCAATTGGATGCCTGCAAGTCCTGCGAATGCCACGGCGGTGAGCCTCGCTGTGCGATGGAAAGATGTCCACCGATAACGTGTCTTACCGATCAGACACTGCGACAGCTTCCCGGTCAATGCTGCCCCAAGTGTGTCGATATTGATGGCATATGTACCGTTTTCGGAGACCCACACTATAAAACTTTCGATGGAAAGTTTTATAGTTTCCAGGGGTCTTGTAAATATCAGTTGGTCTCTGATTGTGTCAACAACACTTTTTCGATTCGAATTTCAAACGATGCCAGAAACACGTTACATTCTTCGTGGACACGAACGGCGACTCTGCGGATAGGTACCACGAAAGTGAACATGGGAAAAAAAATGCGTATAAAAGTTAACGGCCACAGAGTATCGATGCCATATAAAGAAATAGGCGTCGCTGAAATTGCACGCAGCAACGGATCTGTGCTATTAAAAGCCGATATAGGAGTGCAAATGTTATGGGATGGTGACGGCTTTTTGGAGGTGACAGTGTCTAGTGCGTACAAAGGTAAATTGTGCGGCTTGTGTGGAAACTTTAATACTGTAGCGAGGGACGATATGAGAACCCGCGATGGTAGACTTTTAAACGACACGTGGAGATTCGGGACGTCGTGGCGTGTGGGCGGCAAAAAAGCTTGCACTCGACAGCAAGAGCGGCCGGGCATGGCATCTCGGTGTCGCCAATCGAAGATGTTGAAAGCGCGACGACTCTGCCGTGGTTTTCTGCGATACGAAGCTTTTTCGGAGTGCAGTGGTAAAGTGAATCCTCGCAACTACCGTGAGGCTTGTGAATTGGACGCTTGTGGCTGTTCGGGTTCGCGCTGTCACTGTGCTGCTTATAGAGCATATGCGCGAGAGTGTACTAGGCTTGGTATGGAGCCTAAGGGTTGGGCGCGGCAGGCATGGTGCGAGGGGCAGTTGCCGCCTTGGTTGAGCCGTCGCCGGAAGAGTTTTGGCCGCGTCGACAAGCCGAAGGAATCCGACCTCCTCGAGTTCAGCGGGCTACCCAAACCAAACTCTACACGACCACGACCTCCACCTCCGATTTTGCACTGAATTGCTGAAACGCACCTTACTAGTCAAATCTGCCAATACGGCAAATTAGAGGTAATTACTTTGTTTTAATCGTTTTTATTTGTTTATAATAATATAAGCCGGTGTAGTTAGGTTGGTTGAAGATTATCATTAAATGTATGCAGTTTAGAAGAACATGCCTACGTACTTAAGCACACTTGTGTAATTTTCAAGCCTGTATCTAAGAATTGGATAATATTGTTTTTATAGATATTTTATGCGTATAATTTATTTAATAATATTTTAAACTTAACAGGTTGTTGATGAACGTGAATATGTATTTTTTTATTATTTTGTAGCGCATGGTTCATTTCTCTACTATAGTAAGATTTACTCCTAGAAAGTAGTAAGTAGGTTTGGTTATTCTCCGTACAAATATGAATTTCGACTAATACCAAAAATGACAGTTTATCCTATTTGACTTCATTTATAGGAAAGGCGTGTGTCTTAGAAGTGGGCACATTAATCATATATTTATTGAACAATTTATGACATGTTGTTCTACCTTGCACAGTCGATGGTAGACCAGTCGCACACTAACGCATACTTCCGTGATACGTGTCCTAACCTAATAATGGATATTCCATTTGCATTGCGAATGCAAAAGTCACCAAACAACAGTCATCAAAAAAGGAGGTGGTTTCCTTTTTGAACTCGGTTCGATTCAATTCGACTGTTTTTTTTGTGTGTTACGCAATTACTCAGGAAATAGTGAATCAATTTTCAAAATTCTTTTTTATTCGATGGTTTTTAATAATAAAACAAAATAAGCCTTTCCTCAGATATCACCTTAAAATGTTGATGTCATATTTATATCAGCGAAAAAACAAAAGTTTTCTATATTCAAAACGAGTATTAAGAATAATATCCTTTTTGTACATAGATTATACTTTTATATATTAATGTAAATATACTCTTTGTAGATTTTCTTATAATCAATATGATACCAGTGGTTATTAATTATATTTTTTTCTTTGATTTCAGAGTATTACAAAGACGCATTAACAGTTGTTACATCCCAGACGAGACAAGCTTACATGGAATGAGGATCTATCTTATTAGTTTAAATAAACAGTATTCATAAATAAATCTACTTATAGTTAGAAAATAATACATAACTTTATGTAATATAAATAGGACCACCTTCAAGTTGCCTCGCGAATCCAACCAGCGTTAATAAATTAAAACTAAGCTTTCCACTTAAATTAAAATCTTTGATATATTTTTAATGTGGTGTCCAAAGAGAAAAGTCATTCCTAATATTTAAAAAAAAGTTATGAAAGTATTTTATATTGACGACTAACACTTAACAAGAATAAATTATAATGTTGTAATGTTTTTAAACTCTATTTTTTTCTAGTTAAATGGTGTCAAAGACGTTTCTCTCTATTAGCTGCTCGATGCCAGGGTTGGGGAGCAGATTCAGTCAACTGTTATATCTCATTTATTATAATAACTTTTGAACGATATATCTGAGTTAAGCAACCAAAGGATAAGGATTTCCTTGCAATGGAATAAAGTTTGTAATATCACCCTCTTAAGTTTGTTCAAAAGCAATTTTATTAAATGAGTAGTAGCCCGAAAATATAGGAAATAACTATTCAAACTACACTGATGTTTATCAACTTTAGAATTCTGTAAACATATAATGTCTAACGCAGCGACAAAGATTGCACTCGCTCAGTATTAGAGGTGCGATCGAATAAAACCTTATTACATTTTGAAATTGCGTTTTATACTGATATACTGATGCTGTGATAGCTCTGTATTAGACGCTGTGCTTGCCGCTGTATTTTTAATAGAATTCGTCATTCATGTAAAAATAATGAACTACCTTTTAAAAATCCTACCCAACCCTAAGCATACCATTTCCCTACAAATTATAACCCTAGTAACAATTTAAGTTGGTCCATGGTTGGGTCAAAGAGTTTTATAAGTCCAACGGCCAACTCTAATTTTCACTAGAGAAAATCAATATATTTATTACATCCTAATACTAAAATTTTCTACTTAAATGTGATAATTAGCTTTGAATATCTTTGACAGAATAATATTTGGTAATAAATAGTTCAAATCGAGATCTCATTCGTAGGTAGTACGAAATTTAGTTAAAGCTAGCTAGCTATCCGAAGCCAAGAAGCTATAAGGAATTGGGTGAGAGCCACTGAATGTAAATAATTTCACTGAAGTAACACGATTATTGTTTATATTAGTTCATATTGTTTTAATTGAAGACTCTTAATAATATTTAGTTCTTAAATACGTTACCAATGAATTTTTTACTTTTGACTTTGATGTTTTTTCATATTAGCTTTAGTAAGTCGCGGGTAGACCATTGAATTTGAAATTGTCTGGTACTTATTAGTTTTAATGAATTTATAATATTTTATGTGGTTTAAGGACAAGTATGAAGTACACATCAGACAAAGATATTTTAATAATATTAACTCTACCAACGAGATCAGTAGCTTTATCGCGTAAATAAAGCCTTGATGATTGATCTGTCTACGCCTAGAACAATCCTGATTAATCTGCTGATTTTCCAGAGCTTAATTTCGACACATTAATCAGGGTCTCAGTTACGAGGTCGAGCCGCAGGTGTACCTTAAAATATTTTTCATAAGGTCTCTCTACAACTCCCACGTGCTATCGTTTAATATAAAATGTTTATCTTTTTCAAATTCGAAATAAACAAAGACTATTTACTGCTAATTTTATAAGTTGCCCCTCTACTATCCTATAAACGTGTTAAGTGCCATGAAAAAGCGGTAATGTAGTAACAAAATTGTGATAGAGTCTACTGCTTTTTTGTCAGACAGTGCCTGATTATTTTAAAAATATATTTAACCATGTTCTTATCTACGTATTTATTGATGTCTCTTTTATAAATGTAATGTGTATGATTAAGAAAGTATTAAAATCGAAAATATATGTAAAGAAATGTATAAATTAAGATTATTCTATCACAAAGCTTTAATGGTATTCCGCTTTCTTCGAAAAATATTGAAAATGCACTCTCATTTATTAATTTTAAGTTTCTATTCCTATGTCTGTAATTTGAGAAAACTCACTTAGTACTGTATTATTATATTAGTTACATGATGGCCTACGTTTTATGTAGGCTTTTTAAGTTATTTGAGAGTTATGTTTGGAATATTGTGTAAGTGTTGTAAGTAATAATTATAACAATGTTCATTGAAATTATAATTACTATTCTGAGGTAAGACGCTTTGGTTTTATTGCATAATTTATCATAAGGAAAACTATCCTTAAGTTTAGTACAATGTTTAATGAAAAACATGTGTACCAACAATATACCTAATGTCGTTTGAAATATTGTTTTTAGTAATTTGCAATTGTGAATTTTTTTGTCCATAAAGGTACCGAATGTTGAGTGCCATACATAAACAATATTGGTAGAAAAACAAATCAAAATTATATTATAAAACTTGAATTATAAATTATAGTAATACTACATCCATGTGCTATGTAAACGTATTCGATTCAAAGTTATTGAATATTATATATTGCAAGAGTGTTTGCAAAACAAAGAATTTACCTAATAAATGAATATTATTATTCACAAGTGTTATCGTTTTATTTTTAGATACATGTATATATGATACAGAAACAGAATGCTATCTCAAATAGACCCATTACTTTGTACTGGCTGTCAGCCAAATTTCCTGAATTTTATGCCATCAAAATTATCTAGGACAATCTCGCGTTCATTTTAAAAACAGGGGATTCATTATATTATATTTATCTTGAGGAGAGATCTTAAGAAATGAGAATTATATTGCGGCCTAAATGTTATTTTGGTACAGTCTTTCTAAATTATAATTATAAATACTATATTTTTGTTTTCTATATTGAAATACAGACATCTATTCCTATGATAAAAAAGGTATTTAAACGGTTATAGTAGAATAAAAGATTTATTAATAAGTAGGTATAAACATTACTCAATCACACACATCAAATGAACAAATATTAATTTGTACAATAGTTACAATAATAACTTTATTATTGTCGATATATTTGGATTGTTCCTTTCAATTTGACGTTAAAATATCTTGCCAATATTCCCACGATTCGAAAGGTTGAAGTACCGAAATATAGATATTCCTTAAATTAAATCATAAAAGTATAGAAAAGAATAGAATTAGTTGCTTATTCTCCCGTCATCATCTCCATGAACTCTGTAACAAAAAAAATAGTTATGACATAGGATAGACAAATGCAGACATAAACTTTCGGTTAATATAATTAACGATATTAGCTCGCTACAAAAACTTCAAAGTAAAGACATTAATGAAATATTATATTTTTTAAGTCTGTATATTGAATATTTCGCAGTTTGGCAATAAAAATATGGGGAACTTGAATGTATATTCTGTGTTATTGATATTGGAATAAACAAAATGTTCTTGGCAGTTCTTCCTTGTAGATGAAATGAAATGAAAATATCTTTATTCAAGTAGGCTATTACAAGCACTTTTGAATCGTCCAAATATTTTTTTTTTCCCCTACCACTCGTTCAGGACGTCTTTTAGCTGACAAGAAAAACAAGCGAAAGAAACTTACCAGCTTTTTATCATAAGTAATGACATTTACATAAATCATGTCATTACCAAAATAATATGTATTATCACAATAATAAATACAACTTTCTAAGTCTGTAGGACATAGGTTGAACATATAATTAGTCTTTATAGAACAAAGCGAAGGCTATTAATTCCATGCATTGCGATCCTTAAAATAATCATCAACTTTATAATAGCCTTTACTCATAAGTATGTTCTTTACATGAATTTTAAATTTATTTATGGGTAGGTGAACTACATTTTGTGGAACTTTATTAAGATGAAATCGAATCGAACAGGATGAATGGGCCATGACCCATCTCAAGAGCGCAATGCCGTTAGACTGCAGACGCTAGAGATAATACATTTTTGGTCACCTTTGCTATGACCAGGCATTGCGAAAATTCTTAACAATCGACAGACCGAGCGACCACGCCATCGAGCACCTAATTAAAATTTGACTAAAACAATATATATATAACTATTTAGATTTAATGCTCAAGTTTGAATAGCATGTGAATCGCTGGATCGGAGCCTTCTCGTGTAAGCGTGCTTGACCTTAACTCTTTTTACTTTATTATGATATATAAAGTTTATATGAAATTAATTAATTCTGAATGAGATTGAGATTGAAGCCACACACATGATGATTTTTATAGGTCCTATTTTTGAATCAATAAATCTTAGATAAATTAGAAGCTATGAGTCCAATAGGTTAATATCTTGGTATGGTTAGGTTAGGTTAGGTATATAAATACTTAATAAAAATGGGAAAGGTTAAGTATAATACCGTCAAAGTCTACGGTGCCGCTGCCGTCTGTGTCGATCTCCTGAATGAGGCCGTCCAACTCCTCATCTGTGAGCTGTTCGTCTAACTCACGCAGAATTTCGCGCAAACTAGATGTGGGAATGTAACCGTTGCCTATAAATAATAAAAATTCCATTAGTAAGTTTACTGGTTGATACAGACTTAATATGGTGCTTCGTGAATCTGCCACAAAACACTGGAGCAGACCTTTCAAATTCATCATGGCTGAATGTATCATCAAAATTTATGAATGATTAGATTTTTTTTAAATGGAGATTAGGGTACTAGAATTAATAATTCCTTTTAGACAAAGTTGCGACCACAAAACCCTAGGTAGATTTTTAAAGAATTTCTTTTCAAATTCAGTGTCATGAATTTTGATGAAATTTTCTCATACATGGGTAATATGTAGAATGCATGTTCCAAATAACAAATCTCGTGTGGATTGGCTTACAAAATAAAATGGCTCCTAAAGTTCGTTTTGTTCGTAAACCGCTTGTCCAGCAGACGATAATTTTAGGAGTATCGATGTGTCATAACATCGTTTGTTATTAAAAAAATAAGGCATTTGGTCGTTGTTCTTTTGAAAAATAATGAGGCATCACAGTTACTTCTGAATTTAAGACGGATAAAGATACAACTGAAGTAGATGCGTGGTTTAAAATGGCACTACTCGACAACACATCACGAATTTGGTTAGCACTTTATAATTCTCTCTATTCTTCAAGAGGTGATTTGTATTGGGCAACGAGATTGCCTGATGTAGCACTCGTTTATTTTTTTTTATAGGCATAGAGTAATGTTTCTTTTTGTGTATATCAATCGTCCTAAAACACTTGATGAGTTGGAGAACAATATTCATGATGCTGTCACCAAGATGGAAAAACTAGACGAAGTAGACCGAAATTTTAGATTTCCACTCTGTCAATGTATTGGGATTCCGCCCAATTGGGCGGTGTCTGCCTACAAGATGTGATTTTCATAGCTCATTGAAAATGTTCCGCTATATAATGCAACAAAATGATACATCTTTAAAACTTTGTTTTTCAATAAGGAAGTGCTCGCGCCGCATACTGTATTATTTATTTAGATATATATAATACAGAATGCGGCGCGCGACAGTATAATATTTAAGTTTGATAGTCGCAAAATAACAATAAAAAAGTCTAAGAAACTTTATTTTACGAATAAGAAAATTGAAATAATACCTATTCATCTAAACAAAGCGATTATTATCGCTTCCCTCTTTTAAAGAAACAATTGAAAATGTTCTCAGACAAATGAGAAATTTCTAGAGACGTTCCCATTTGTCTGAGAACATTTTCAATGTTTTCCTTTAAAAGGAGTTACTAAAAATCCTCAATGTTTTCCTTATTCCTTCAAAAGAAGTAACTATTTAAATAATCTAACTAAATAATCGTGAACACAAAATATAGCTTACCTTCCTTGTCATATAATCTAAATGCTTCCCTGAGTTCTTTCTGCATAGCCTCGGCGTCCTCTTCAACGATGAATTTGGCGGCAAGGGTAACGAACTCGCCGAACTCAAGGCGTCCAGACTCTGAAACGGCCCAACTCGCTATTAATACCTCCCTCGGACTTCGGTTGCCACCATACTTTTAATGGATTTTTATAGCCCTTCTGATAGCTTATTGAAAATAACACTAATCGAAGTATCGTAATTCAGGTTGTTATAACACAATTTTTTAAAGTGTGCTAATAATATTTATTGAAAATTTAACAGGAGCAAACGTGGTATTACAGGAAAATAAAAAGAAGAATACTTTAGTATACAAATCAGTTTTATATCTGGGAAAGCAAAGATCCTTATATAAATCATTTGTCACCTTCTTTTTTAGAGCTACATCATTTTTATTTGGCATATTGTGATTTTTGGCATATTGTGACTTTAAAGAGAGTGAAATCAAATCCAGTTTAAAGTTTTACTCACTGTCGGCGTCGACTTCTTCGATGAGTTCTTCTAGGATCTTCTTATTGAAGGGTTGCCCCATCATTCTAAGTATGTCTGCGACAAAATCGCAGGGGATACTGCCCGAGCGGTTGTGGTCGAAGCCATCGAAGGCTTTGCGTAGGACTGGAACAAACAATTAACACTCCATTAGGACACTGTTACGTAACTGTTATAACACTTTTAAGGATGTCCTACCCTCCATGTTGAACGGATGCATTTTATGGTTTTACTTCCAATTTAAGATTTTCGCGAGAGTGTTGTTGCTCTGACTATAAAAACAGGTACACTGATCGACTTAGTGACGAGCTATGATGGTATTAGGATAGTTCAATGCACCAGTGTGCAATGCGAAATGGTTGTGCAACGACGCTATTTCTGGCTTCATCTGTAGCAACGGCTGCACAAGTCATATATAGGTCAACGATAAATAACAATGAAATTTTATAAACAAACACCGTTTACGCAACGTGGGAAATAAATGTTGAGAGATGTATAAAGTTATTTCTTAAGTCGTTCTTATGGAATTCTCTATGCTGCAAAATACTCGGACAGTTAAAATGTTTCTACCTTAGTCGTTCTTGGAATTTTTTAATGCTCTCAAAATACAATGGAGATTTGTAATGGAATTTTATATTATTCTTTATGATACATAATTTTAAAAGAACTGTAGCTATTTTCGTCAAATTTCGTGTTGGAAATGAATAACGAAAACTAGTTTCGTTATTTCGTTAAATCCCTCTTATAACAAGTAAGTAGGTAGTACTAATGTTTTCTTTTATAAATCCAAACCGGACGCTTTATGCGTTATGCGTCCGCTATCATATTACAAAATTTGTATTAAGCAAATCAAATAGAAAATATTGTATGCTTAGAACATTTATTATTTATAAAAATATCTCGTTAGGACTAAATTTCCAGCTAAAGATCAACGAGATTCAATTTCTTCCCTTATTTTACATACATCATTCTATAGTAAAAATCAGTGAATATGGTTTATTTTTAGGCTAATGATTTTGAGTAATTAGGTCATAAACTTCTATAATTCGTTATCGTCTATCTCAATGCATCTTTTTTGAAATAAAATTTTAAATTAAAATAATAAAACTAAACCTATATAAGCTTTACACAAATAACATCACACAAGTTCCTTTAAAGAGATCAAACGAATTTTATAGTGTCTAAAAGCTAAGTAATAAATAATAAAAGCTAATAGCTGCGATATTAACTTCGTGGTCATAATATCAATGTATTTGAGCGAGTCATTAATATTATTTTCATAATAACTCCGCCATGGCGTGTAACGTGCGTCACAATTTCACATAAAAACCAAAATATTGTGTTCTCGTAAGCAACAGAAATAAACTGTTTCGAAGTTTTAATGACCGATTCGAAACATTAACATCTGCAGTCATTTTTCATTTAGATTACAAAGGTTTATTAGCCAATTACATAAGTATACGCTGCAAATACTAAACTTATGGTATAGTAATTGTTGACGACAGCTTTACCACGCTTTACCAGCTTCTTCAGTAAGTATTTTTCTTAATTTGATTTTTTATGAATTTTTGTCACTTTTATTTTTATCTTATTATTGCTTTTTCTTCTGTCAGAAGATGGACGACACCCGTAGTGTCGAAAATAAAAACAAGTTTCAAGAATTGCTGAGAAGCATTGAGTGAGGACCACACGTAAACGATCGATGAGGTGATTTTTGGGGGAGTTTTTTGGCTGAAATGCTGATTGCTGTCTCTTGTTGTGTTACTGTTCATCACATTGTTTAATATATATTATTTTGCTTGGCTAATTTACCTTTGATTTAATTACACAGTCCACTCATAATCGAGTAAGTCCAATAATTAATGACACATGATTAAATAATGCTTGCAAGGCTTGTTTTCAGATGGGTGATAAAAAATACGATTTCGCGGAAATTTCAAAGTAAATTCTTCCATCCCCTAATTTAGGGAGAGAGAGATAAAAGTACTAAGTTTAAGAATGTTTCTAACAAGTAATAACAAGAACTTTTAAGAACTTCAGGAAGTGTTGATGATCATCAATGAGTGAGTAAATCAGTGACAAAATGGTTTCGTTTTAGATATTAATAAAATCCAAAGTATAATTGCTATGCAGTTTTAATCAGGATACATCATTTTTATCTGGATACAATCCAAACCCAAGTCAGTTCAAGAAATGATGAATCGTTTTGAGAAAAAGTAGGTAGTGTCCTAACGCTTTGTTCATCGTGTTATCGGTAAAACTGGAATACAAGCTTAATTTTCGTAAATGAGTTTATCATTTGGACAGTAATTTTATATAATGACTAGTGGTTACGATAATGAACTTAACAAGCTTTTATATTAAAGGGAAAGTCAAATCAAATCAGTCTAATAATATTACGAAAGTAATTTTGTTTCCTTTCAAATAACACAATAAGGCTTATTATGGGGCGATCAAATATCTTTCAGAGGCAGAAGAAGGAGCTGAGTTATAAGAAGGCAATTTATTCTATTCAAAAATATGGATAATGATATTATTTGTAGATAAATTAGAGAACCACCGTCTTGCTATTATTGCGGTATAGTAACAGAAAAAAATATATATGTAAGAATCTATTTTCATATAAAATACATCAGTAAAATATGTTTATTTAAATCTATGACTACTGAAACCTGATTCTTCGTTTACGATTTTCCGTTTCCTTTAATATAAGAGGTTTACTACGAAACAAAAATAGTTACGATAATCTGTAGAAGTTTTCAACAGTTTTTTTTCCAAAGAAACATTAAAAAATCTATACTAATTTAGGAACCATAAGATTGAAGGTGTGGTCCCTACTGTAGTGATGGGAGTTGGGAGACAACTGGCCAGGGAGACTAAAGGATAATTGTCTCCCTCCGACAACTGGCCAGGGAGACTAAAGGATAATTGTCTCCCTCCGAGCTAGGTGTTGTTAGCCCGGGGACCGCGGTCCAACCGATGTAGGTTGGACGTTCTATTTATGTTAATTGGTAATGAAACTTATTCTGTGCGATGTAGGTTTCTTTGTTCTAAATGTCTTGTAGTTATTAATTTATGATGTTCGTATTGGTACAGCGCCATCTCGTTACTTGGTGTTGAAACTTCTTGCAGTTCGTCTTGCTATCGATGGCTGTGACGATGCTAGTCTTCTCGCTATCGATTGTTGTGGCGATGTTACTGCGATGAATTAGATGTCGCTATTGTATCAGTCGCCACACTAATATTATAATGGGTAAAGATTTGAATGTTTGTTTGTATAGAATAAGGCTTTAAAACTACTGGACCGATTTTAAAAATTCTTTCGCCTACAGGAAGCTACATCATACGCGGGTGGTATATGCTACGGGCGAAGTCGCAGAAAAACAGCTAGTTATATTATAAATTGAGCGATTACACATAACTTGAAGCAAAATAATCTTATACTTGTACTTAACGAGCTAACGTTTCTAGTTGTTACGGAAATATTGCCTTAATGATGGTAAAGATGAGATCTATTACAGAATTTTTCATTTAGTATGACTCATTAATCATAATCTTGATTAAAAGTTTTAAATGCTTTACACAGAAAGAAGGGTTAGTCTATATTATAATGTAACTCTGCTTTCAAAAATAAATAATGTCAATAACTCATGTGAGACTATTATTATTATATAAACGTTTACATATTTCGTAATTTAAGAGGGGTGTGAAGACTTAAAACTACGCCTGTTTATCAGATAGAGACAGAGTATGGCTAATTAAATGTCAAAAACTGTTTTCAATTATTTAATCGTAAACTATTACGAAAATTGTAAAGTGCTGCCCTTGGCTACACCATTAATCATTTGTTTTTCTTTTAAAAATATATAATTACAACATAAATGGGAAAAAGTTAAGAATGAATAAAAAACATTTGAATACGTCAGAACCCTTAGTGATTTTCACATTTTTAATTACAACTATTTAGACATTATTTCTTTGTACCTACGAAACTTACTTTTTTCTCCCTGTACCTACATTTGTGAACAGAGGTGTCGAATATATTGATAGTTGCATGAAATTTCCTACTGACGGCAAACCTATTTGGACAAAATAATTATCGCCGACTTATTTCATTAAAAGAGTCTAGATTAAAAGGTAAACGGGACAATTAACCAATTGATATGTATCTTGATAAATTGCTATAATCTCTTATCAAAAGATACCGCTGCGCTGGACCGAGCAACGGCCGCACAGCTGTCACGCAATATTTTGGCAACAAGATTGTTTTAAAAACGCGATTTTTATATTTCGTTTGAGCTTCGTGTTGTTAATTTTAATCGTAACGTTGTCTTGGCAGTTGTCTCAAAGTTTCTTGGGTTTTATTGCTTTTTCTCCTAGATTTTTGCTGTTTAAATTAATTATACGCCCACAGTTTCACAGTTTCCCCACGGGTTTGCGAAATGAGTTCAGTATAAAATAATTGTAACCACTGTTTTAATTAATCATAATATAAATCATCTTAAACTTTTTTGTGGTACATAATACCGCTTAGATAAGAATCCGCACATGTTAAAGATAAATTTTGGGTTTGATACAAAAACTGATAATCTCTTGTGTAATATTGTATTTTAGAAATGCTAATGAGTTCATAAATATCTTTAAATAAATTAAATATACTTTAGATACTATACATAATTTAAAATTTACTTATTCAGAGTGCAATTTCAACACGCAATTTGCGACACGTACAATGATTTTTGGCGCCAGAACTGTGAGACAACCTGCGCTAAACACTATGTCTAAGCATATGTGTAATACTGGCAACACAAATGAATACTGATGGAAAAAAATAATCTAAAAGTTGTCCACTAAAGAGTTTTATTATATCGCAGTCATACACGATAACTCTCTACATTCATATCATTCAGTTGAGGTCTATTATATAAAGAAAATTACTTTAAGCATTCTACTTTAATTTTGAAATGACCCACACTAGAAATTTTGAATATTCTAAGTAAGATATAACATTCGACACTATGCGATTTAGATGCACGTTAAATATTTCGTGCATATGGCCGATATTCTTAATATAATATGATATCATATGAATAATAATTTAAGCCACTTGGCAAATACACATTACATGGAATGGTCGTTTTGCACTAAATTTAATTGTAGATGACAGGATTTTATTTAAATAAGTGTAGGCGGCAGTACCAGTGACAAATAACATACACAAATTAAAAATGTAATGCTATTTTTCTCTTTCTTGTTGTTGTTCATAAAAATAATTATATTACATGAATCATAACCTAATTAAAGATTAACAATAATAAAACATCATATACTTAATGTAAATATAACCGTGAATATTTGTGTATATTTTTAGGAAGGTTGAAAGTATCGTAGGTTCATAAAATATGTAAACGTCATAGTGAACAAATCAGTATGCGTGTGAACTTTAAATCAAAATTTAAGCATTATTATAAGATGGTTTATGGTAATAGTATAGTTAAAACGCAAAGAGCTATAATGCTAACAGAACCGCGTGTTAGTTTACTTTAAAAAGTTGAGTTAAAACATACAACTCGTTCTTCTAACACAAACTAAATGAAATGTGTAAACATCAAACATACATTAAATTAGTCAGGGTACAATTTTAGAAGTGCCTATTATATTGCTAGTGAGTTTCTGAGAAATTTCCGAAGCTTTATTGCTCAAACAATGATAACACGGTCGACGTGATTCCATGCCGTATTGGCTGCTGGCCAACCGTGCCGAGTTCGTGCGGTTTCGACGCACTAACTTAATAGTTAGAGGGACGGTATACATGAAAATTACCCTCATCGATTATTTGTTCGTGACAAAGTTTGTAAGTTAGATAACATGTAAATGAATAATTTAGCATCGGGTTGCCCAGCTAAATCTAGCTAACACTGTAAAATAATGTTTCATATACTTACGACATTTTTTTTAATAAATTCCAGCCTTCAAATAAGGCCTCCAATTGGGGGCCTCCAACTCCAAAAAAGCATATTTCATTCTTTCATCTGTTATTTATGAAAATCGAACAATAACTAAAAGAAGACATCCAAAACAATCGAAACAAAAAAATAAATTGTCTAAATAAGAAGACATAATATTTTTTATTTGTAGCAAATTCGAGGATATTGTCAAAAACTGTTTGTACTCTACAATCTGTGGTTTGTACTCTGCAACCTTATCGTTAGCTTAAAAGGAGAAGAAAATAACAGATGAGGGGAAATAATTTTAAAAAATATACAAAGTGAACATTATTTTATAGTGATGACCCCTAATTTAGCAAAGCAACCTGGTTCTAAATTATTAATCTACATGATATCTAATTTATAAACTTTGTCATAGTCAAATAACAAATGTGGGGATATTTTTTGTAGACTATATCTTAGACTGTAAAATTCCTGTGCTTGATAACGCATTCTATTAATTATAATTAAATAGTTCCCTACCCTTGTTCTATTTCATAATAATTGAGGTCAAGCCCCTTGATTTATATCGTTAGTATTGAAAAAATGAATTGTCATTGAACGTCAAGTCTATGCACATTAAAAAAGCTTTGCTACACTAGTCTTAGTTCTTTCGTCATGATCATTAGCCCTTTTACGTCCCCACTTCAGGGACTCAGACCTTCCTCATGCATGGTTATGGAGGATGAGCCATGACCTTCCATGAGGAAGGCCCAATGCGGGTTGGAGGGTATTACCGACTGCAAATGGCAAAATGGAAGTGCCTTCGTTGCCTTCTCGATATAATAATTTTTGGTCACACATCCCGTGACTGACCCTTGCGAATGTTGCTTAACAAAAAGATCAAGGGTCTCGGCGCTTACCCACTACGCTACCATGCTATTAATAATAGTTATTTAGCTGAATAATATTTTTATATAAAGATATTTCCTTTTTTATATCATTAATCATTTTGATAATTTATTGTTTTTCATTTAAAAATATAAATACTAGACAGCATCATTTACAATTTAATTTCCAAGATAATTAGCTGAACCCTCGAATATTTCGGTATCTAAAACAACAAAGGTAACAGACCCGAGATAATATAGAAATGTTTCAATTCTGTTGAAATACTACACGAGTATATCTATGTATAACTAATTTTACGCCAGTCAATGGAAGGGACATTACCGACTATTTTCCTATTAGTTTTACACAATAGATCTTTTCCAGCTGTCAACTTGGTACATAACTTTTTACATCATTTGTTAACTGTTGTAACTTCCGACAGGTTTGTGTCGTTGACAATTTTCAAGATGAAAAATGGTAGAAAAGTTTTATTTTAACTGAGAAGGAACGTTTAAAATTAATTGATTAACGGTTTTCTCATGTGCCGTGTCTTGGATTAAAAAATTTGTTATTTTTTTCCCGACTACAGCGAAGGGAAAAAGAGGTTAAGATTTTTTCAATCATTCCGTGTAGAGTATCAAATGAAAGAGCTTAATTAGTGCATTTCAATTTGAGAGTCTTTATGAGAGTTTGATTGCTTTTGCTTGCGATTTTGCTTAAATGTAACCAAAAAATAAAACCAAAAAACCAAAAAATTAAATAAAAACTAAGTTAAAATCTAAAACCGGACTACAGTTTAATCACGATCTAAAAAGTTTGAAACAAAAAATTTATTTTATAGCGATAGTTATATAACAACAGGGATGACCAAAGAACAGCGTAGTCGTTTGCCACATCAGTTTAATATAGCTAACGCTATAAAATATATTTCTTGTTTCGAAAGTTCCGGCATGTGATTTAGCTGTAGTCGGGTTTTAGTTTTTGCACTTATTTGTCTTTTTTTAATATAATTCGTTATCGTCAATTTTTGTTTTAAATCCGTTTTGTTATTTTTTTTTCTAAGTAATATTTCTCACACAAGATATTTAACTATATATATAATAAAACAAAGAAAAATATTTCTTTAACTCTCAAGATTTTCATTTTATATATATGTGGATTTCTTAGTAACACACGGTTGCTTTTAAAATAGGTATGTAAATTATATTAACATTAAGATTATAATTTATTTCGTAAGAACTCGACAGCATCATTTTTAATAGTTACGAAAATAATCTTCCTCTCACAGAAAAATAGATACGAATTGCTCGCCCACCTTCTTTAAAAATAACTTTTTTTTCAGGAGCCACGCCTTCTACAGTTGATTTTAAGCTATTCTTGGACTACTAATTAAACACACACGCGAATTTTGGAATAATTGATTAATTAGGATGAGTCTTCGAAGGTTTTTGTTAAGACTTAAACTATATTGGGATGTGTGCCAAAAATTTAGTTCACGAACATTATTAGATAGATAGGAAATATAGATAAATAATGTTCAGGAACATTATTTATCTATCTTTCCACTAGTTTTAGATGTCAGAGAAGGGGTTTATATAAGATAAATATCAATACAGCAATGTGAATGCAAAATTAATTAGATTAAATCTCTGGAAAATAGAAACCGACAATAATATTAAGAATATTATGAAAAGAATTGCGAGACCTATTGGTAAATTATTAAAGGCATTTTGGCGTCGTATGCTGTATCCGAACAAGTACTGAGAGACGACATGTCCGTATTTTAAAGTGTTAGGGTTCCGTACTCAAAGGTAAAAACGCGGAACCCTATTACTAAGACTCCGCTGTCCATCCATCTGTCTGTCTATCAGTCTATCACAAGGCTGTATTTCAAGAATCGTTACAGACAGTTTAAATTTTCACTATAAGCCACTGTTGCCACTGTTTGAGCAAACATAATATATAGTTCCTATACAATAAACGTTCTTTTTTTGTTTTTGTTCGTTTCTGGTACGGGACCTTTCGCGCAGGAGTTCGTCTCGCACTTGTTTTTAATTACTAGCTATGCGTACTTTCCTTACCAACTACACACACTTACCCAAACGACTATATATTTCAAAACTTATTCTAATATAGTTTTTAACTCACCGGCAATTTGTTCTGGGGGGAGCTCATCTGCCTGAAAAGTAAATATTAAAATAAGTGATTTGTAAAATAAGTGGTTAATACGTGCATATCACAAATACACGGTACAATAATACCATCGAATAATAATATCCATCTTTTAAAACAAAAATATAAAAACAATATGAAATTTTAATTCGATTGAGAGATAAAACTGGATGATGATTTGTTAGGTTTAGGCTATTTATATCTATTTATATTTATATTTTTGTATGAATATACAAAAATAAATGCATATATTCATAAATATAACACATAACAAGTACGAATAGAGTCTTATGTCAGATCGAGACAAGATACAAATTAGTGCAAGTGTTTTCTTAGAAATTTATGCCCGTTTACACCAAACTTAGGAGTCGCTCAAATCTGTCGCCTTAATATTTAGGAATCGTCTAAGGTAAAAATGCATTTCCCCATTGACCCTAGTCAATGGTCAATGGGGAAATGCATTGTGGTTCCTAAACCGCCTAACTAAATTAAGCAATGTCTATGCGGCCCCTTGCGTTTACTAGGCATTTGCGTATAAGACAGGTTATAAACATGTTAAGGGATTAAATAAAATAAAAAAAATTGGAATTATACTAATCTGCTTAAGCGATTTGTAATGTTAGGCGTCTCCTAGTTAAGCTATGCATTGTATTCTAATATATGCAAAAGAATTACTACCATTATATAATTTTTAAGTTTCTATAAAAAATAATTATTAAGTACTTTTTAGTTAAATTTTGTTAAACGGGTGTTAGAGGTTTGAAATATAAATAGCAATATATTCATGAATAATCTATTAGGTATGTTTGTTACTACACTCTAATCGTGCGAATAGAACAAATTGGTGTTTATAAATAATACTGTTTATTAAATGAAATATTTCAACACATTTCTGTTTTTATACTTCAATAAATAACGTGAAAGATGCGATTCTTCGAATATTGTTTGTTTTCATTTAACATGTGAAACGCAGATATTCTTAAACAAATAAGTTATGTTAAAGACATGTCATTATCATAAAAAAAATATTTGTTTCATATAATTTCACGCACACGGCAAACTATCATTTTAAATATACGCCCGATAAAGCCATATAGAGTAATTTTATTGAATGAAAAATAATAATTTTCTGTAATTAGGACTGATAAAGTCAAAATATCTTTATTCAATGAAGCTTAATGAAAGGGCTTTTGAAAAGTGCATTTTTTTTTCTTATCCCCCATATAAGACATCTTTTGATCATGTAATCGTTTGATCATGTAATCGTTTGGTAGGTATAGTTAGATTATAAAAACAACTGAATGACTGTAATACGATTCTGATACATGTACTTTCGGTTGCATAATGGTAATGTATGTACGCGCGTATATAAATGGGTCATAAACTCCAGTTTCCAGCAGAGCCAGAGCATGCCAAAGTATAATAAATTTATTTAATGTGCAATTCAAACAGAAATAGACTGTATCGCTAAATTATTACTTCTCACTTAATATTTTGGTTGCATCAAAAATTAATAATCGACCGCGTAACAATTGCCAAATGAAATTTAAGAGTCAAATAAGTCATGAGTAATTCTACTCAGGACTTATTTGACTCGTAAATTTCATTCGTATACGATATCCATTCGGATAGCTGGTGGGAATGAGTACTATAAATAGAAATAAGGAATCAGAAATTACAGTTAAAATACAGGAACAAATGATTTCAATAAAAATAATAAACATAGAGTGAGTTAATTAAGTCAATTACCATTTTTGTAACAAAGAGGAAAAAAAGTAAAAGTTGTAAAAGCTTGACAGATAGTAAACTTGAGAAAAGAATTGAGTCGTTCCAGTCAATCGCCAAAAGAATAAGGGACAAACAGGTGGAGTATCTAAAATAGTTGTAAGTATTAATTTGTATGAGTATAAAGAAAATTTATTACAATATGACTTGGCTTCGAGCTCTGAATTAGCTGGTGTTACGATTTTCATCGAATATAAACACGTATTATATTTTCCATGTTTTAGATAATTTTGTTAGGTAGAACTAGGAGCAGAATAGAAACTTAGAAAACATAATCTTGAATATTAAATTTTATCTGTTTTGTTTATGTAGTAAATAAAAGCACATATTTTTATTCTGACTATAGAAGCTGAGGTTTCTGTACTAGACGCATGTTAAAGAAGGTTGAAGCTAAGGTTCTATTAGACAAACAAAGGTTTTATTTCATTGAAGCTCTATGCTATGAAAGCCCTGCACTCGACGTCGAGTAGTAACAATTTCAGTCACCAAATAGCTCATACGTTGGTGTCACCATCTCTGTTGTCATGGATTAGATTCCCAATCAGTGCTTTGCCTACTTAAATTGGGATCTGAGCATTGTAGGTGATGTCTATTAGTTATTTATATAAATACACGCTATTAGTAGAAAACGTAATTGAATTACATATTATATCTTTTTTTTTTAAAGCAAATACCGTATTCAATTAGTACTTTATTTTTATTTCTTTCGGACTCGATTAGTTTCCATAAATACTTTAGATTTGGTTAGAATTATTTGTTTCTTTTGATTTTCCAGCTTTCTTAATTCGTACATTTTATACTTCGTCTACTTATAAACGCCTACATTAAATTCTACGATAAAATTTAATAGACTTCAAAATCGATGACAAGGTTTTAATCTATATTCAGTTGAATTAGTTTTATTTTTACATCAAAATTACTGGCTGCATTCTGCCAAATAAGAAAATTTTTAGACGACATGTTTATGTTGTCTGAATAAACAAATAAATAGTGTTTTGCTTTCCTTTGATTTTAGTTCAGTTAACATTAAATTTTTATATACCAATTAAGAAAATATAAAATTGTTGATAAAAGAAAATAAAACGCACGTCGGTAACATGATATTTATTATCAATAGGCATGATGACTTGGTAAAAAAAAATTAAATTCTATCCAGTCCGTCAGTCAGATAATACTAAAATATGACATATGTACTTTTTTGCTTCAATTTAAACAAGAAATGGTTTAGATAATATGCATAAAGTGGAGAAGAGGGGGCTCGCTACCTCATATTTTTGTAGAAAATTTACAAAAGCGTGACGTCATGCGACATTTCAACTCAATGTAGGTATAACCGTAATTTATTGATTACGCAAAAAATTAAAATATACGTATTTAATATTCTTCAATAATCGTAGGACGTACCTGACGGACAAACAAATAAAAATTAATGGTCATCCCTATTATGTTCTTTAGAATTCGAAATGAATATTATTTTTAACAGTAACGTTTTTGATATTAGATTAGGCATATATATTATTTTTTTATTTTTATAGAAATACGAGCAAATAAGAGCATTTTCTCAAAACATTTTCATTTTAATGAAAATGTTTTGAGATTTATTTTCTAAATAAAATGGTTGTATGTAGTGCCTGTCATGTATTTATTTTTCAATCATTTATTTATTAATGAATGCCCCACAGATTATAATGTTAAGTTCTTATGATTAACTCTTGAAGTTATCCAATTTATAATTATATATTTTTTTTGTTTATTGTATGCATATTTATAATAGTAACACAGAATATGCTGCCGTTGCAGAGTAATCGAAGCTCTTTATAAAATCATAATGAAAAATCTATTTTTTTCCGAATTATATGCCAATTAAACTTGAGATTAAATTCCAATCAAGATTACGATCGCCTAAGTCTGTAATTAATAAAAATAACCATCTCGTTATAAAACATAATGTATGATAAATTTAATTAAACTTTCTTATAGCTTTGACTAAAGTAGCATAAAGTTATGTTGCCACCAAAAAAACGAATCGTGAGTTTCTTTTTTTTAAATCGTAAGTTTATTTCACAAGTCAATCATCTGAGATGAAACATTTCAACCGACAAGTTACTAGCTCGGTGACAGCACCTGTTAACGTCCACTCAGGCGCATCGCGTCTCACACGGTATGAATTTTCTTTGATGGTCGCCAAGGTGTGCTCCGCTGGTTCTAATAGGTATTCATGTTTTTGCCAATAACAAATCCATGTTTTCCATACGTTAGCAGAAAGTTATGCGATAGTATACGAAAAAGAAACGGTTAATTAGAGGAAAGTTATGATCCCAACACCTACCCAGTCTTCAGTGTCCAGAACCATTTTTAATGTCACTTGTTAACACTATGAGACGCACAACACGACTGGGCGCGGATCTACAGTTTCCACCGTTCAGGGTTATTTTCTGCTAATCCACACGAGTCCGGCTTTCGAATACTTTCATATATAGCGGGAGGTGCGCGGGCGGCGGGAGTGTGCCCCCTCGCGCGGAGTCCTCCGTTTCCTTCGCCAGAACTGACCAATGGCGTTGGGCTCAAACGGCAGGATGCTAAATTATTTTTAGATCAAAACGTGGTCAGGAAAAACGTAAACAAGCAAGGTTAAGCAATAGAGGGTTACGGTGTTATGTAGCCACAATATCGGTTAAATGTTTAGCCGATTTTTACGTCCGATGTAAATGTAGGTACTGTATTCGATCAGGTTTCAAGTTTCCGAAGGAAGTAAGAATAAAACTATTTACAACTGCTTTAATTATTTTATATAAACTATTTCAAGTGTCTTTTTTATTTGGATCGCGATTTGAACCATATGTTGTTAGAGCGTCATACGAACGTCATTTATTTGTACTGATATTATAGTTCCAATGAAAGTATCAGTTACTTACAGTTCTGATGACACTCATTAGCATCCATTAGCTTGGATTGTTAGAGTATGTTGAGTATGTCACTCAGTCTAGGTCTTAGCTATCAGAGCAACACAAAAATATTTTATGTCTAACTACTTTATAACGCAGAATTTTTGTTCTGTTGCCCACATACTTATGTGTATCGATTATAAATTATTTTTCGTACCGATCATGTTCCAAACTTTCATGCATGCATGCAATATAAACAAAATTTAGGAGAACATCGTAATGATTTAAGATACGAAAACTTTCGCCGTCATTTACTTCGCCCAATAGTTAAACCCCTTGAAAATAGGTTCAGTGGATTTTGAAATTACCTACTGCGTTCAAACAAACATTCGCTTTGCATTATTTTAAATGAAAGCGATTCGACGTTTGAATTAAACTAAATCGTCAGTTGCTTGGGCAGTATTTTAATTAATATTCTAGAGGGGCACTTACTAGTTTTGAAACTACACAACTTAATTTTTTTTTAGGCCAAATACAGGTAATAAATCAGTAAAAGCTCAAACAGATTGAGAACTGATTTTACTATTTAATCAATATATATTTATTCTTCTGGTAGTGTGATCAACATCTGCAGTTGTTCAAAATTTAAAGACAAAGAGATTTGACCGCTTAAATTAAATCCTTTGTCTTTGCTTATGAAAACGAAAACATTTGAAATGCATCAATCTGTCACCAGGACAAGCGTGCAGTGTGAAGCTTCAGGAGAATTGGCAATAGTCACGGTGCTCAGGTCGCTCATTCAACTTCATATTTCATCGCTTTCTGCACCTCTCCATTGTTTACTTTATCATTTCTCAAAATACTTCGCAAATGTAATATATCAGTCAACGTACTTGTTAAATTATTAGAAATGACTGACATTGACAATGTGGCCAACGTATTGGAGGGTTTCCAGGTTTACTTTCTAAAGTTCGATGTACTATAAAAATATTGTCACAGACTGGGATATTTTAGTTGTGTTTACTTACAATCAAAACACTTCTTTGTCCAGTGAAAATTGGTTAAGTGCGAGTCGAATTTATATAACAAAGGATTCGGTACTATCAATAACTTTTCAAAATTTGACCTGATAAAATCCTTAGTCATTATTAGTCTAATAATATACCGACTGTTTGGGCATAAGTGTTTCCGATGGTTGGAATCAAATGAGAACGGGTCCCATTAGCGCCATATTGCTCCACCCGGAGTCAATGTAAATTAGTGGGTGTTACCAACTACAGATGCAACTGAGACCAATGGCAGAACCTTCGAAGCACGGAAAAGTTCGAAATAATAAATTGGTCACAAACCTTATAACCAGACCAAAAGCTATAACCATTAGCCCATAAAGCTCACTTGTGACTGTAAAATTATGGTTCAAAAGATGTATCTTTATCTTTGAACTGCAATGAGGAAGTATTAAAAAAAAACGAAACCACTAAAATAGCCGGATAATAGCCGGCTCCACTAGATGGCGACTTCTAGCAAAGTGGATTTTTGCAGGAACCGAATGGACCAAAGACAGTCATTGCCGTTCCTTTTAACTAACACATTAAAAAACTGAAATTTGATAAGTTCGAAACTTAGATATCAATACAAATACGAAAAAGTTTAAATTATCTTTTAAACATAAAGAAAATCGGAAGGGTTGTCATAGAAAAATCAAAAACGTACCGTAGTGACATCTAGTGTGATTTCGGGAACTAATATTTTTTTTAAATACTTCCTTTTTGCCACTCAGTTTTGTGTTAGGTACAGTCCCATATTATTAGAAAAGGAAAGAAGAACTCCTTGAAAATTATCACTAAAACATTTGATTTCAGTTAAAACTTTTTTATCCGACTACGGAGGCGAAGCGAAAAGGAGGGTTATGATTTTGGCCGGTATGTATGTAAAAATGTTCATCTGTTCCCTTATAACTTTGAAACTGCTCATCGTAACTGGACAAATGAGATATCATTAGAATTAGCACATTTCAAATATATATACTGACAGTTTATGCTTGAGATTTTGCTTAGATGTACCTGATAATTAATTATTAACTAAAAAATAAGTTCAAAAACTAAAACCCGACTACAGCTAAATCACGCTGCAAAAAGTTTAAAACAAGAAATTTATATTATAGCAATAGCTATATCATATGTATCATAGCTATATCATAGTTATGACCAAAGGACAACGTAGTCGTATATCACTGATCATAACAAAACAAACTGTTGTGGCATAAGACTACGCTGTCTTGTTTTAAACTTTTTAGAGCGTGATTTATCTGTAGTCGGGTTTTAGTTTATGAACTTATTTTTTGTACCTATTCGAATTAAATACCAAACTGAAATTCTAAAATAAACCGAAGGGTTAGTATCATAACGAAAACGTTTAATTTCTAAGTTAGCTTCCGTTTCACTTTCGTTAGCGTTCAAAACAAATCACAAAACAATATTTATTTATGGTAGAGCAACTAAAATGAGGTCACTTAGTCCGAACTTCATTACATTACTCCGAGAAGCGATGGTTAAAAGCAAAAGCTAATAAATATAAAGTAGTCTCGTCCACATTTATTACTATCAGCTGTATCAGTCTGCCTACGTCAGTAAACTGTTTGGACTTTGTTTGGCACCACATTCATTTTCTGTAGCCATAGACAAATTATACGATATTTTATTGTTTTTCTTAGTAGCTTAACGTTGATCGAAGATAATGAAAGCTGTAAAACCTTACGCTAAAACATAATGAAGTTAAAGTGGAATTTAGCCTTTTCTACGAAAATTTTATGAATTTCAGATTATCAACTACATTGACACACCTAATGAGAAATTATAAGAATGACGTAGAAAATAAGATTCATAGCATTTTTAACCGTAAGGGCGTTTGTGCACTATACTGAATTTTCAGACCCGGCGGTCCGATTTTTTCCGGTCCGAATATGACATGAAAAACCCGGATGAGTAGCTTGTGCACTTGTCCGTTTTTTTCCTGATCGGAGCGGCGCAGTGTAGGGCAGCTCTCTTTAAAGCTACACATCACTTACGCTAGGTACGATGAGATTTTTGGAACATCGGTAATTGCGTTCGGAGACGTAGAAAGGTACCTAAATAATGACCTGATCATTTTAAGTTAACCATAATAAATTGAGGCAAGACGAAAACATTTTTTTTTACTACTATCGGATGACTATTATCAGATGTAAAAACTTATACCCTTACTAATTTAGGAACAGGATTATTCAGATACAATAGCTAAAAATATCTGTAACATTAGAATAAAATTACTGATAATGGTGATGTTTAAATTTATAAACGTGCTATTTTTTTTGAAGTTTTGTAAAAACAACTTTAAGCGATTACAGAGATAGACCAATCGTTGGCGCCATTTCGTAAACAAATCGAAATTAGTGCCGTGTAAGCGGAGAATAAATATGCTAAATGAACATTACGAGATCAGTTGACTGTATTATATATAGGCATAAATTTATACGCGTGGTATAGTTTCTTTGAGCAGAAATATTTTTCCCTTAGAATACTTCTTTTTTTTTAAATTTATTTATGACACAAACAGTCATTTCAAATTTTCTTACAATAAAGAATTAAATGCGAAAAAGACATCGAGTGTCACTTTACTACTGTTAATCTTCTGTTTATTCTTTATTATTACTTCTGATTTCAAATATTTTTCCTTACTTATCAATTGTCTAAAAGAATTTTGATACTGACAAATTTCCCGGCAAACTTTTATCCCCTATTTTTCGTTACAAAATGTAGCCTATGTCCTTTCTTAAAGTTAAGTCTATTTACGATATTAATTTTCATTAAGATGGGTTCTGTTCTTTAGGCGTCTAAGCGTAACAACACTTATTTATCTTACTTTAAGTTATCGATACTTTTAATACGATTCTAAAATCTAGCTAAGTATCGATACTATAACTATACGCTGATCAAATTAGAATTATACCGATTTTGCCAAAGCATATGCAGTGATATTTACCACCTATATTAAATCATCACATAAAATATAGCATTTTATAATCTACAATAAATATCGATTATAAGTTTATTGGAAATTAACAATATCGCCGAAATAAATTTCGATTTTGCAAAAATCGATTATTTATTCCTTATAAATTTTGCGGATCGCAGACACAGCAGTGCACAAGCGTAAACAAGTTTTTTATTGCCACCATCACGGACCTGAAAAGACCAGTCCGGAATAGACAAAAGTATAATCCCGGATGGTAAAATTCCTGACAGTGCACAGGCTAGCATTACCTATATATGACCTGACATATCGGACCGGAAAAAATCGGATCGCCGGAACTGAAAATTCAGTGTAGTGCACAAGCACTCTAAATCTTAGCGGAATATGATTTTATCGAGAGTCATTTATCCATTTATTACGACTACATTGCAATGTCAATTGCAATAATTTGTCAAAATTTACTTTTATATTATAGAACAAGCACAAACACTTCAGTATTA